AGTCAGGCAGACATTTCCCTGATTCTTTGTTATTGACTTCCTGTTGCAGGTCCCAGCAGACGAGGTGTGCGGATGTCCTCTGGTCAAAGATGTGTTTGAGCCAACCGGCGAGTTCTGTCGGGTGTCTAAGAGGAAGTGCAACAAGCATTACTGCTGGGAGAAACTTCGCCGCGCCGAAGTCGACCTGGAGAGAGTCCGAGTGGTATCTCTATTCATACAAACTTTATTTAGTGCCTCGTCATTAACATTAAGACACACCTGGGCTTTTCTAACTCTCTCTTTGTCTCTGTCAGTGGTATAAACTGGACGAGCTATTCGAGCAGGAGAGGAATCTGAGGACCGCCATGACCAACCGAGCCGGTTTATTGGCTCTGATGTTGCACCAGACCATCCAGCACGACCCAATCACCACCGACCTGCGCTCTGCCAAGGACAGGTAGACAGGTGACGTCAGGCAGACGTTTTCCTGGATGAGTTTAACGCTCGTTTGCAGTTTTATTGTGGAAATTTGTGGGAAGGCGAGTCAGAGCAATGTTTCATTCACAAGTGAACAAAAAACAAGAGATTTGATTCTGACTCCAGCCTCATTCAAACTCAGACCTCATCTGATTTTAGGAAGTCAAACCGTTTTTATATTTCATATTCACACTACAAATGTAGGAAACCTGAGCTCTTACAATCCGTGGATGGACACTCAACTAAACCTTCTGCTTAGGTAACGCTGCCATGAAAGCTGGATCTCAGCTTAGCTTTGTGGGCAGTTGTATCCTCACTGTTAGTTTTAATAAGTTGGGAATGACTGGACACACAAATATGATCACATTTGATCCTGAATGAGCCATGATGTCTACACGAGGTGCTTATGTGTCCTCCTCGTCCTGGAAAGCTGCTCTCATTCAGTTTAACCTACAAGTATTATACTACCCACATCCGACCAATCTGAAATGTGGCTGTGCTTTGGAAATGTGTCTTAAGGTTGATGATGAAACACTACATGTTCACTAAAGATGCACACATTTTATAAATCTTTAAGTCATCTTGTTACAACTCATTCCTCCTGGTTTCTTTTTACAATGTGAGCCTGTTGCAGTTCAAATAAAAATTGTGTAAATATCAGTTTAAACTTTCCCCCATAGGATCATCAAAAAAAGTAAGCATAGAAGAAAAAAAAATCAAATGCAAGACAAAAAACGATAGATTCTGTGACTTGATTGGCTCTTGTTTCAGTCTAAGTGAATAAACAGCCAATCGGGTAAGCATAGGAAAATTAATTTTAAGCACAAAGAGCTGAAGTCAAGTGAAATTAATTAATTAAATAAATAAAATGAAATGTCCTGATAAAGAACTCGGTTGGTTGGAACTTGGTTGTATATTGATAAAAGTCAAACCTTTCTGTGTGACTTTAATTTCCCTCTGAGAGGAAACCCTTCATCTCGATGTCTCGTTATTTTTTATATCTGTTTTTATCCAAAGTGTTATCATTATGTTGTTGTTTGTTCAAAATGTTTCAATAAAGTTTGATATCTCATTATTTGTGCTGATTTTGAGCTTTTCTGTTCTCAGAGTGAATGCCAGTGCTGCACTAATTTACTTTAAACTGCAACACAACATTAAACTGGCTACCCAACATGTTTTTTTTAATAGACTAATAAAATTTAATATATGCAACATTCATGAGAAAGATTTGAGGTAATCCAGAATTTATTGTAATTAAATTCAGGGTTTTTTTGTTTTGTTTTTTTGTTTTTTTAGGCAGAAGAAGAAGAAAAACCCTATACATTATTGTAATTTTTAGTGTGAATAAAGGGCCACAGTATTATATTAGGTAAGACATAATAGGATTATTATTAAAATGAAACAACAAAAAGGAAAAAAACTGTTTGTAAAACATAACCTACATTTTTGAAGACGCTATTTGTTTTAAGAGAAAAGCTCGTGACATCGATCTCTAACGGTTTTTAGTTTTAAATCATTTAAAAAAAAAAAAAGTCCCGGCGCGCGCCACACCCTTGTCTGCGCTGCTCGGTGACGTCATACGCCTCCGACGGTAGCGGTGTACGGTTGGCGCTCAGCGGCTCGGAAAACAAACAGTACACTTCCTGGTCGTCCCGGTTCCGGAGGCTGCAGCGGGTCTTCAGACGGATTTTGACCCGGTTTCAAGGTGTGGATGTTTTCGGCTGACTGTGAGTCCCAGTTTATCCGCTCAGTCCGGGTGTTTCATACTAAGAACAAGCTAGCAGGAGGCTAACAGCTTCTGCTGCTTCACTATTTACACCGAGAGAGGATGACCCCGGTCCCGGTGTACCGGTCCTGGTGTTGGCCACGATCATGATCTTAGAAAAAGCATTTATGCATCAATCTGAAGATGTAACAGATGTGAAAATCTCTAAAAATATATAAATTAATTAAATTATAAATAAAATAATGCTGAAGAAATATGAAAAACAATAAACACAGTTCAGTTCAACTATATACACATCCATAACTTACGGTGGTAGTCATTTTCAGGGCACTCTTTTTTAAAGTGAACAATAATAACAGAGAGAAACCCAATGAATGGCATTGACCAGGACTTGGCGAAAGTAGGAAGAAAAAAAGCTAAAAGAATGTCTTCCTTATAACACAATCACACCTGGAGAAGAAGTGTACTGGTACAGATTTTCTAGAGCAAGGGTGATGTGCAGAGCTGAGTAACTACAGAGAGACAAAGTGGACGAGTGTGAGAATAAAGATATGGGAAAGAGCTGTTGAAGTTAGGATAAGGAGCAGCAGTATGGATCATTCTGAGAAAGAGCTCGACAGATTTGATGTTTGCTTTGAGAGTGTTGATAGAGAAGTATAGAGAAAACCAGAAGGAGCCTCACTGTGTCTTCATGGATCTAGAGAAAGCTTATTATATGGTACCCAGAGAGGAACTGTGCAACTGCATGAGGAAGTCAGGAGTAGTGGGGAAGCATGTGAGGGTGGCGTGACAGTGATGGGTTCAAGGTGGGAGTGGGATTACATCAGGGACCGGCTCTGGGAAACTTTATTATTTTAAAAACTTCTGCAACTGACCTCCTGAGTTCCAAGATGTTTACAGAGTGTAGTTAAAGAAAAAAAAAGGTGATGAAACTCCTCAGTCTCAAATTCAAAGTGAGCAGAGATTTAAGTAAACAAAAAATCTTCTCAGTTTCAGCGTTCTTGTCTCTGTGCTTTTTGAGGTTAATTAAAGGGTTTAATTAGTTTGGATTCTCATTGACACATTACACAGTCGTGACTCCTCTGTAACGAGGCTTGTTCTGGCTCGCAGGTGTGAAGGTTCTTCTTCACGTGTCTTTGTTATTTTTGGTTCAGGTGGATCTGAGTGGATCAGTGATGCAGTCGGGGTCAGATCCTCCAGGACATGGACCGAAGCCAGTTAGAAGATCTCCTCGTTTGTCCCCTCAGGTCAGTCACCCGACACAGGGATACACCTGGTTTTAACCTTCACCTCCTTTTAAACCTTTTTGCCGCTCAGCCATAAATGAGTAGTATAGTTCCTCTTTAGGATTAAAATGATACGCTCGAGGTGACGTGCTCCAGATTTAACTCGTTTTTGTCAGTGTTACTATTTATGCTGCATGCGTTAAAGTTTACAGGTTGGCTTTAGCTGAGTATGAATTATTGACAAGTAAAAGTGGGCGAGGCAATCACTCATTTACCTGAGGTGAACTTTTATCTCAGATTGTCGTGCCTCTCCTTCGATTCTGCGCTCAGTTTCATGTGAACACCTGAGTGTTTGGATCTGTCATCAGTCTGCTTTCGTAACACCAGGCAGAAACAGCCCACCCTTTTCTTCTTCTTCAGCTTTTCCTCTTTTAGTTATTTGAACTCTTCTTCTTCTGTTTCTTTGCGTCACGTTGGAGCACTTGTGCTTTAACCCTACAGCGTATCAATTTGCTTCAGTCGCAGCAGAGAGGTGGGCTTCAGCTGCTCCTGTTTATGTTTGCAGGTCGGCAGCAGTGAGGGAACACAGGAGAACAAAGGAGGAAACAGCCTGCAGGAGCTGAAGAGGAGAGGAAGGATGGAGAGGACCAGAGAGGAGCGAGAAGAGGAGCTGAGTGGCAAATTGAAGACACTGGTGAGACTTTGCACTCTGTTTAATATTTGAAAAGGTTAGCATGCAGCTCAGGTCCTGCAGAGTGTTTGGAACAGAGGTGAGATGTCTGTGCTGGACCTCAGACCATCTCTGACCTTTCCACCAGTGTCAGTTACACCTGTGAAGGTGTTTCAAGGTTTTAAGCCAAACTCTAAAGATGGACATCAGTAGTAAAGTAGAGATAAGTAATGAAATAATATAAGCCTCCAGAAGCTCTTATGAGGAGACACAACGGCGTTCCCAGCCCAGCTGAGAGACTTCATCTCATGTCCTGGGTCTGCTCTGGTTCCATCAGAAACTGAGAGGCAAACTGTTTGTTTGGTGTGACCTGCTGTGAGTCATGTGGTAATAGGTGGGGGTGAATAGGACTGTCTCTGCAAGTCATAAGCTAGAGGTATACCTGATACTGGCACTTTTGCATCCTGAAACACAGCACATTATCATATTTTATCAAAAATTAAGTTTTATTTGATCATTTTTTCTGTGTGTGTGTGTGTGTGTGTGTGTGTGTGTGTGTGTGTGTGTGTGTGTTTGTAGGATCTGTCCAGCAGATCGGCAGCCAGTGGAACGGGTCTCGTTTACTCGGAGATCTTCACCCACCATAAGAACGAGTGGGACCCGAGGTAAGCAGCACCTCAGACAGGAGCTGTGCGGTTAGATCAGATGTTAATTACAGTTACATTTTTGACTAACATTGATCAGTATAAGAGTACAATAATTGAGTTTAAATGATTATTGTTTTATATTTTGTTTCGGTTCCTTTCAAAATTCAGTCCACACCAGGCTTCAGCACGTTCAGTTCAATTTGTGTTGTTTTTGTTTTGTTTTGTTTTCAGTGAAACATTAGTTTATGTTTACAGATACACTGTTGAAACTGAAGCTGTAAATAAGAGAACTAAGTTTAATAAGTAATAATTGTGATTTCTGCTGTAGTCTGACCTCATGAGAAAGTTAATCAGCATCTTTGCTCATAACTGATTACCCGAGCTTCCTTTTCTTTGGCCTGTGTCCCAGTTTCACTGACTTGTGTCTCTGTTTGGCATCCTCAGGAACTGTTTTCTAAACAGCGAGTTGATTAATGGAGTGAATAATGCAGAGACTAATGCATGATGAATATTTAAGAGCTGGATGTTTTTTCAGATTCACAGACGGTCTCCATCATTCAGCAGCTCAGCGATTTCCTTCAGGGCAAAATTTATCATTTAAATTAAATATGAGCTTGTTTGTTAGTTTCATTTTTTCACCTCGTACTTCTCCTCTAAAGACTGTTGTTAACTTTTAATTCATGCAAAGCGGGCTCCTGTTCTGCTTGTTTGCACATTTTTCTATCAAATTTGCATCATAGAAGAAGGAGATCAGCTGTTACAGCTCCTCTGTTTTAGTTCACATGGAGCTAATGCTACAGGGGAGTCTGTCTGCTCATTTCTAGCTATATGATGTTATTCTTGGACTCTCCCAGAGTAACTCTGCATGTATCTTCTGTGTATAGTACCATTTGTAGATAATACAAATTACTCTTGTATAGTATTTAATCCATTTTGAATTATTAAGAGTTTTGGCTTTTGTGTACATCATTTATAAGATGAGATAAGAAGAACTTTATTTCTTTTGTCGTACACATGCTCAATGTAGCAAGAGAGACAGAGGAGCAGAGGAATAAGATATACAATATATACAATAGAATACAAGTATGCAGTAATATACAGTAGGACAGTGCAAAATATAATAGCAAATAACTGTAACAAGTAACAATATAACTATTTCCTGACAAATAACTAGCTTAGCTTAGCTATCAGTGCAGGTGATTCTAAATGTTTTCTTATTTATTCTTCTATTTCTGTAGTTTTTTAATATATCCGATATAATATATATATAATTATTAATATGAATATAATTAAATGTTCTTTTTGTGCTACTGTAACAAGTGAATTTCCCCAGTGTGGGATTAATAAAGTCTTCGTTGATCTATCTTTGAAATACTTTGTTTTCAGCCATCCAGAGAGTCCGGAGAGAGTGACAGCCATCATGGAGGAGCTGGAGAGACAAGATCTGCTGCCTCTCTGTATCAGAGTTGAGGTTAGGCTAAATAAGAGCTCCTCAGAGATGAATATTAATAAAAGTCTTACTCTTACATCCTCGTCGAGTTTTATAGATAACCGATCCTGACGTGTGTTTTTGTGTTTTAGCCCAGAGAAGCTACAGAGGAAGAGCTGCTGCTGGCTCACATGTGAGTCTGCTGATCGCTGTTAAAGCGTCTTCTGTTTATGTTTGAATGTGTTCACGCATAAAACCTGCCGTGTGTTTGTGCTGCTGCAGGAAACACTATGTGGACCTGATAAAGTCGACTCAGACGATGACACTGGCTGAACTCCAAACTCTGTCCAACAAATATGATTCCATTTACCTGCATCCAGTAAGAACACGCACACACATCGTGTTAATTCTTAATAAGCTCATTTTGTTCTTTATGATCGATAACTGGACAGCATGATGTTGTTAGTTGTATTTTGCACTAAATATCTTTTGTGTTTCAGGAGTCCTTCCAGGTGTC